GGAAAATGTTTACCACAGACCTGAGCCCTTACGAGATCAAGGGTCAGATCGATGGGCACCGGTGTCTCGAGTTTTGTGTTCAGCAGCGCCTGTGTGTGGCCACCGGTATGGTGTACGACACGGTCGACAGCTCTATGTTTTGCTACTTTTTCAAACGGTCGGACCTCATGGACGCCAATCTCACGGAATACGAAAATGTGGACCTATTTGTCAAAGTGATGGACGAGTCCGAGATCCCTGGCCACCACAGTGTTCCACAGAATAACAAGTATGCCTACTACTAACTGTTTAAAATAATTATTTAACCTAGCTACAAAATTTAAGTGTTTAACCAGCGTTTACATCCATACCTATAGGACTGGTAGTGTCACTGAATGCAGTGATGGTAAGCCCCTGGACTCGGAGGCCAAGGATGATGAAGAGGATATCAAAGAGTTTTCCGGTTATAAGTCCGCCTCGAAGTCCAGGTCGGACTCAGATGGTGGTGCCGCTGAGCGCCGGTATTCAGCCAATGATTATCCGCTGTCACCGCACGGATACAACTATTATGGCGGCCCTCAGGATGAAGAGGACATCGATGACAACGAATCGGATACACAGCCGAAGAAGTCGTACAGAAAACAGGGCTTAAGGACTGTCCGATCGGCTGAGTATAAGAGACAACGACTCCAAGAATCGGATGATACGGAACAGGAGGTGAAGCCCACGGGAAATGCCGTTCCGTTCATCGAAACGGTTAAACAAAACGCCCGAAAGGAGTCAATACTGGCGCACATCCCGAGCATCGCTGCGGAACTCCTAAAACGTGTCAAACAGGCTAAAGAGAGCGCCGACCTGTCGGACAGGGATGTAGTGGCGGGCCGAGGAGGTAATGGTGGTCAGAGGAGACCTAAACCTAAGGCACCGGTAGCTGATCCGGACTGCGAGAACGAGTTTGATGTGACCATTGGCTGCAAATCCGGTGACAAAGATGTGTCCAAAATGTGTACAAATGTACCGAAAATTATTTATTCCGACGGAAAAGCTATGTCTGCGTGTAATGAGACACTAGTGGGCGGGGAGTGTCCGATGGTGTGTCGGGCCGGCTATGAGCCAACTGTGCGGCGCCTGAAGTGTCAACAGTCGGGCGATCGGAATGTCTGGCAAAACGCGAAACTAATTAAATGCAAACCAATAGAGAGTGAGTGCGAGCCAATCACCACCGGTAGCCTCGATAATAAGACGTTGATCCGTATTAAAGCCCAAACCCAATACCCGTCCCAAAGGGTACACTACGTGAGTGCGTACAATACGACCCGAAAGTTGCCCCTATTTTCGGCGTACGTACACATGAGCGCCAATAACGCCAATACTACCGATACCTCGACAACCAATGGTACGGACACTGAGTACGTAAAGAACTCGTGCCACCAATTGGGTGACAATCAGTGGTCAGACATTGACTACAATAACAGTGATTACAATCTGAGACCACTTTTGCCGGTGAAGGCGTTCCGGTATTCGCCGGAAGCTCAGAGTCTCGTGAATATCATGTCTAACGTCGCCCCACAGGACCCGTTCACATCCCGGGGCCCGTGGATGACCATCGAGAATAGGACACTAGAGATGCTTCAGAATAGGCCGGGTATTGTCATATCAGGTGTCTGTCCCGATAGTATACCGCAAACAGATCTGAAGCCTAAGAATATACGGAACCGGAAGCCGACGCCAACCCCTGAAATACCGAAGTGTTTTTGGACAGTCGTATGCG